TGGGAAAGTGAGGGCCAGGGTAAGGGAAGCAGGGGCTGGGGTGAGGAGGTAATGGGGGAATTGGGAACTGGAGTGTGATGGGATCAGGCTCAGATCACAGGATCTGGGGGCACGTGGTAAAGCACCTCTCCACAGGCAAGGCTGTGCAAGGAGCAGACCCCAGGGACTGCCCACAGCTTGACCCATGCCGGGGAGCGGGGGGCACACAGATGTACAGAGCCCAAGCCCTGGACTGATGCAAGGCGACAGCAGGCCTGGCCTACTCTCAAGGTGGACAAGGAAGCCCAGGTCAGTCCACTGCTCTGAAGTCACCCTCTGCTCTAACAAAGTAGACACCCTCCCCAGCTGGGGACAGAACGCAAACCCTTTTAGCAACACATCAGGGAACTGAGGTCCGCGTCAACCCACAGTTCTTCCTGAAACTCAGTGAACAACTGTGCAGTGCTGCTTTTACACAGCTCCACCCCAGAGGTGGCTGCATCTCAGCACTGAGCAGGGCCAGCTGCTTTTCTGCCCCAGGTGAGAGATCCCTGTATAACCAGCCCTAGTGTCAATTCTGCAGAATTCCTGGCTGTCTCGTAGCCTGTGAAGGGTCCCTGAGAGAGTCCTGCAGTGGTGGGACACAGGGAGACATCTCTGGCAAGGTAAATTAACTAGATGGTCATGAGAATGGGGAGCCCTGGAGCTGCTTGCTGGCCAGGAGGAAGCTGAGCTCCCTCCCCATCCCACTGAGGGAACGGCAGCACAGTGATGTGCTGTCCAGAGGCCTTCCCTGCTACAATGGGGCACGAAGCCAGATAAATATCCCTCCTCATGCCCAGACCCCTGCATCCCAATCACCCTCACTCACTCCCCTCCGCCCACCAAGACCCCACACCCCCACCTTGCTCCTGTAGCATCCCTCCTTGGCACACTGCACTCTCCCTTGCTCTTGCTCCTCCCCCCTGGCCAGACACCTTACTCCCAGCCTGCTTCTGCATCCTAGCTCTCACTCAGACCTTGCACCCTCACTTCCTCTTGCACCCCCCTTCTGCCCAGACCCTGCACCCCCATCCCTATCCCACTCGCTGGCAGCCCAGTCCCATACACTGAACCCATCACTTTTGTCCGCACCCCAGAGCCTAAAGGAGGCCACAAAATCCACTAACTCTGGAACACAAAAAAAGCAAGTCTGGCCTATGGGAAGCTCTGAACTTCAGTCCTCCCTGTTACTCCTATGGCATTCCATCCCCCTGAGGGAAAGGGAGGTGTCTCAGTTGGGGGCTACATCAGTGGGGGGGGCAGAGGCTTTTGGAGGAATTTTTTTTCCCTTCTCACCTTTTGTGGTCCCCAACTGATTTTCTGTGGGTCAGTACCTCTGACCCCCCAAAAAAGTTCCCCACCTCTGCCATAAATAAAGAAGATATTAAAACTCTTTGTGGGCATAAATATTTATCAAACTTCATTTTAAATAAAGTAAAACTAACATGAAAAAGTTAAACACTTAATCTGTTTAATAATTTAAATGAAACCATTCTTTTTAGCTGCAGCACTAGCAAAATGGCTCGGGCGTAATTATGTAATTAACAGTGAGCTTCCATTAGCAACTGGTGATCCATAGAAATGTTTTCATTGAGACAGGTGGTCCACAGACCAGAAAGTTTGAGAACCACTACTCTAGAATATAAGTGCTGTCAGGGCTGTGCCTCCAGGGGTGGGAGGCAGTGGAGGCTGCTATGGGGAGAGGAAAACACATGTGTGGGGGGTCCCCCTGCTCCAAAGCCACGTTGGCCCATGGGTGCCTGTGTCCCTGGCAGGAAGACAAGGGCACGATGGACCAGACCCCCATAGGATCTCACCCCCAGCAAGGCTGGACCCTCCTGGGGCCAGTTACCCCCCAGCCATCCTGACCCCAGCCTGTCCTGGTAATATAGCATTGTGCCCCTGCAGGACTGGAGCCAGCCCCTGCTTCCTGGGGGGGGGGAGGGGGGGGGGGGGAGGAGCCGAGCAAAGCCATTCTCATCTCTCTGCCCCAGTGCTTGGGGGCTTGAGAGGCCACACCAAGCCAACTTCCT